ATGGTTCTGGCTAGGACTTCCAGCAGAATGTTGAATAACAGTGGTGATAGGGGGCACCCTTGTCTGGTTCTCATTTACAGGGGAAATGTTTTCAGGTTTTCACCATTGAGCCTGATATTGGCTGTGGGGTTTTCAAATGTGGTCTTTATTAGGTTGAGGAATTTCCCTTCGATCCCTCTGTTGTTGTTTTTTATCAGAAATGGATGTTGGATATTATCAAATGCCTTTTCTGCATCTGTTGATATGATTACGTGGTTTGCCTTTACTCTGTTGGACTCTAACATTCTGTGTTAAGCTGCTTCTCCTTACTTGCTCTCTCCTTCCTAATGGCTTTTGAACTGAATTGCCCAGGAAGAAAGAAAAGGAAATCCTTTACAAAATGTATAGTATAAATTTATAAGCAAGCATATAAATTTATATAGATATATATCTTTGATCCATCTAGAACTTATTTTTGTGACTGTTGATGTCTCTTATTATTTTCAAATAGATAACCGATAGACTCAACAGCATTGTTTAAGCATAATAGTGATGTTTAAGATACAGATATTCAAATGAGACTGAAGCGGAGGATCCAGAAACATTTAAAGACCTATTTTATGCACAGGCCCTGGCCTGGCAGAGCCACACATCAAAAACTCAGGGGCTGGCCATAAGGAGTAGGACTGTGGTCTAGCATTTACTATTAATTTGGTGGAATTTTAATAGGGAGTGGTAAGAGCACAAAGGAATTTTATGGGTCAGCAGAGTCAACAGATTTTAAGGATTCTATTTGAAACTCAGACCTTACAGTGTTTATCAAACGGGAAACTGAGGGAGCTTATTTAGGTACAGCAGATATATGTGGACAGGGCACTTGGTATAATAACCTCAGGCATGGCCACTACTTATCTGTCAATGAAGGCTGAGTGCTGCTTTGATCTGAACAGCTTTCAGTTTAAAAAAAAATCATTATATTTAGAATATATATTATATAGATAAAAAAATCCAACTCACTGCCATTGAGTCAATTCTGACTCATAGCAACTGCATATGACAGGATAGAACTACTTCTGTGAGTTTCTGAGATTAAAACTCTTTACTGTAGTAGAAATCCCCTTCTCCTGCATATTATAAAGAGTATACAGTAAATACCCTACATTAATGTGTTCAAAGATACATAGTCCCTGACTTATGATGTATTCAAATTATGGCAAACAACACTTATGACCATCTGGTTATTTATTTTTTTTGTAAATTTTTGGTATTTAGTTATAACATACAGTGTTGTAGCACATAATTTACTGATATTATCATTTCATGCCTCCCCCTCAAGATACAAATAAAAAGTAGACTTATAAAGAAATAGATAATAAAAGGCAGTACGAATGAAAAATATTAAAGTTAAAAAAAAGTAATCCATTTATTTCAGAAATGACCCTATCCTAAATTGGAAACGACCTGTAGTATCAAATGCAACTTTGTTTTTCCTTCAAAATGTGTTTTGGGAATATATCCTTATTGGTCCATGTAGAATAGATGCTCCACAGCATTTCATTAAAGACCCCTAGTGGTGCTGTAAGGTGGTCACTGGGCTACTGGTTACCTGAAAGGTTACTGGTTCAAGCTCCCAGTTCCTTGGGAGCAAGGGAAGGCTGTCTGCTCCTGTGAAGATTTAATCTTGATAACCCTATATAGGGTCCCTATGGACAGGAACTGAGTCCCTGGCAGTGAGTTTGTTTTGGTATTTTAATAGGTATTGCATATGAGTGCATGTTATTTTACTCTATATTAAAACAATATTTTTTCTCTTTCATTATTAACTTTCTAATTTTGAGTTTGGGGTTTATAGCATTTCTTTGAAGGTGTCCTGGTGGCATAGTGGCACTGCGCGGCTAGCCACAAGATTGGTGGTTAAAAACCAGCAACTGCTTCTCAGGAGAAACATGAGGCTTTCTTCTCCCATCAAGATGTATCGCTTCGGAACGCACAGGGGCAGTTCTACTTTGTCCTTTAGAGTTGCTTTGATTTGGAATTGACTTGACAGCAATAAGTTTTTAGTGAGAGCATTCCATTATACGTATCATGTTCCATTTATTCATTTTATTAATTCTTTGGCCCAATTGAAGTACATTTAGATTTCCAAAATTTCACAACTATAAACAATGCTGAAGTGAACAACTTTATAGATTTTCCTCATTCATATGTGTGGGTGTTATTCTAGGGTTAAAAAAAGAAAAGTTTTGATGCAACATATGTACAAATATGCTTGATACAACTGATGTATGGATTGTGATAAGAGCTTTAAGAGCCCCCAGTAAAATGATGTTTTTTAAAGAACAAAGAAGCTTTCCTTATGTTGATTCCAACTCATGGCAAATCTATGTGTCCGAGTAGAACTCTGAGCCACAGGATCTTCAATAGCTTGTTTTTCAGCAGTAGATCACCAGGCCTTTCTTCTATGCACAAACTTGAACCTTCAACCTTGCCGCATCAATCCTTGTCACCACTGAGGAGGGACTCTTTCTAGGATCTTTTTAAGGATGGATATATTCTTTGGTTTCTAAGAAATTGAAAAAATATTTTAATCACAATTGGATATTGATTGTGTGTGCTCCTAATATTTCTAGTTTGCTGTGCAGTTTAGAAATACTTTTAGAACTTGAATAGCTATTAAATATAAGCGCATGTTATTTTACTCTATATTGAAACAATTTTTTTCTTTTAATACTAACTTTCTAATTTTAAGCTATCACTGTATTTATAGGATAATCCTAATTAATCATGGCGATTAATTTTAAAATATATTTCTGGGTTTAATTTTTTTAATAAATATTTTGTATAACATATCCCACCTATGGTCATAAGTATAATTAGACTCTATCATTTTGCTTTCTTGTATTCTGCTGGTTCAGATGTGGTAATATGTTTTGCAAATTTTATATAAAGCATTGGTTATCTTTTCATCACTTCTAAGTTGTGGAACTATGAATAGCATAAGAATTTCATGCTCCTTGATGCTTGGCAGAACTGAATTTGCTTTTCAAATTAGTACCTACTTATATAATCTAAGTCCTCCATTCTCTCACTTAATTTTAACCTCTTTCTGTTGTGCCTGTTTTTGTTACAGGCGTATTTAAATCTAGTACCTTTATTACCAATTTGTCAAGATCTTCTTATCGTTTTGACAGTTTAGTCTTAGGTTAAGTTACGTTGTGTCATACCAATTCAGGAGTTTATATTATTTTTGTGAATTTTTTCTTATATTAATATAAAATGTTTCATTTTTGAGGCTTTCTGTTTCCAATTGTGGTAACATTGCTGTATTGCTTTCCTTTGATTAGCGAAATTAAAAAAATTAGTTTTATTGAGCTATAATTAACACATCATACAATTTGATAGTTCATTCACAGGAAGAAGAGTTGTGTAATCAACAGTACTGTCAGCTTTGGAACATTTTCTTCCATCTTTGCCTACTTGTGTTGACTTTTGATTAGTCAAATTTTACACCAACTTTTTCAACTTCTTGTGGTATTTGTAGTAATGGTGGTTGTAATGGATTTTTTTTTAATATGAAGTACAGTATTCTAAATGTATAAGTAAAATTAACCTATTTATAGTTATTGTAAACATTGCTGTTTAGATATACATCTTCCTTTTTCTATTTACCATACTTCCTGTTGTTTATCCTCCGTTTTCATTTCTGCCTTGTGTAGGTTTTCTTTGTTCCCTTTTCTCCCTCTAATAGTTTGCAAACTCTAAATACAATTGAATCATTCTAGTGTTTATTCTTAATTGTAAAAGCTTAATGCTCTAGAGTCAGAAGATATTTAAAATCAACATCTGAAATTAACTTGCATGCCTAATCTGGAATAAATTAATGAACTTTTTCAGACTGTTCCCACATTCGTAAATTTAGGAACATGAGTACTTCACATGAGAATTTGAGGATTAATGTGATACCAAGTCAAACACCAGTTCAATATTTCTATAAAGAGGACTTCAACTCATTACATTTTTCATTAGTCAACCAAGAAACTTCGGATCGAAAGCACATAATGATCTCTTCCCTCCTTTGCCCTTCAAAGTCACTTCTTTTTCACCTTGTATCATTGTCCTCATCTAATTTTTCATTTCTTTCAAGTCTCAAACTACCTTCTCATCTTCTTTTTACATAACAAACAAAACCCATTCTACATTATACTGACTGACTTATTTTACTCTAGATTTAATAAACGTCAGGTCCCAATAACTCCACGCCTTTCTTCATTTTTCTTTCAAAATGGCGGCCTTTAGACGTTCACGATCAGCACCACGTGCGTGTGCGCCTGCGCCTCCCGCGGCCATTTCACCCAGCAGCCCCAGCTCGGCGTCGGCTCCGCGTGTTGGGCCTACAACACTTGCAACGCCTGCGCACAAGCCCCCGAGCGCCGTCGCTCCTCCCTCAAACTGAGTACGCCTGAAACCGCACGTTCCCTTCCCTTCCCTCCCCCTCTGTCTCCGCACCGTCCTCACCCCTTTCCTGTGAGATTCTTCCGCCAAATGGAAGCCCTATCTTCGTTCGACAGCCTACGCACTTGAGGAGCAGTCAATAGACACGTACAACCCTAGGTTTCTCCATTCAGTTTGTCTGTACGCCATGGAATTTTCCCCCTGGACCCCGGAGTTGATAGGCGATTGGGACTTTTTGCACATCGTGAAACCACAATGTAAAGAATGGGCCGGTGGCGGAGGGATCTCTCGCTTACACTCTGTGTACTTTAATTTAAGGGGGGGCGGGTCGCCCTGGAGTCGGAAGAGAGAGGGAGGGAGAGAGGGCGGGGACAGTCGGGGAATTGTTTTTTTTCTCTTTGGCCACGCCCTCACTCAGCTGACCAATACTTGTGGGATATTTCCTCAGGGGCCACGCCCATCTCCCTTGCCCCAGCCAATGAGAGTTGGAAGCGGCTCCGAGGGGGCGGGTTTGGGAGGCTGTGCGTGTCTTGTGAGAGCTCTTGAACGAAGTCAGAGCTAGAGTCGCTCGGCGGCTGCAAGCTCTGGCCGCTGCCGGTGACTCAGGCAGCTGGGACTGGGAGGCGGGGTAAGAGCGCCTCGGCCTCAGCTGAGTGGAGAGGAGGAAGAAAGGTAAGGTGGCCCTGGCGTGGCTGAAGCGGGACGAGGGTCGTCAGGGGGGGTCTTCAGCCAGGAGGGGTGGCGAGGCGGGGAGGACCGACAGGGCAAGTGCGGAGTGTCTGACGCGAACCTCCCCTCCCTGAGGGGCCTCCCAGGGCAGGGACCCAGCTGCCGAAGACGGGCTCTCAGCGTTGGGGGCCTTTTCCTTTTTAGGGTGAGGGGCGAACACTTCGGAATTTCCCTTATGCCGCAAATACCCCCCGCGTTCCTTCTGTGTCTGGGTTTGAGATTAGGGAAAAGCGAAACTTGAGAGCGCGGGTCACGCGGTGCTCGGGCCTGTGTTTGCGGTGCGGGGTGGGCCGGGTGGGGGGGGCGGGGATGGCGCTGGTGGAGGGCTCGAGTGCGGGGTTTGCGCTCGCGCTCGGCCGCCCCCGGGGGGTTGGGCCCCCAGAGTAGAGCCAGGGACCCCCCCTCCCGCCACCCACGCACCGCGTACTCTTCCTGGCCCCCTCCCGACGACTGCCCCCACCTCATTTTGTTTTTGCAGGGAGGAGCCCTTCCTGCGGGCGTGGAAACCATGGTGCTCACGCTCGGAGAAAGTTGGCCAGTCTTGGTGGGGAGGAGATTCCTCAGTCTCTCGGCCGCCGACGGGAGCCAAGACAGCTGGGATGTGGAGCGCGTCGCCGAGTGGCCCTGGCTTTCCGGGACCATTCGAGCCGTCTCGCACAACGACGTTGCCAGAAAGGATCTGAAGGTAAAAACGGCTGCGGGGCCTAGGTTGATTCGGACGTTTGGTGTTACCTTGGTAACGCGACAGTCTGCGCCCCCACCCCCCTTTTTCTGAAGCCGGCGACCTGAAAGTTGGCATTGATCTGAGGCTGCAGAATAGTAGCCCTTTGAAATGGTGGTGTAGAGCGAGGTGTGTTTGGCCTGGAGCTCCTTGCCGCTGTGTTAAATAATGGGCTTAGCGTTGTTCAGACATGCTTGGGTATTGCCAGCGCAGTGCCTCCCTAGTGTTGGTTAGTTTTCAAAGCAGTACTGTTGGTAGCATTAAGTTGGGCTAGTGCTTGGCGTTTGTAATCAGAATTGAGGGCTAATGCATTCAGTATGCTTTTAATTTGTGCCTCGTAATTTCTTCTCTCAACTTTTTAAACCTTCAGGTTTGTTAGAAATGGAGTGGAGGAGGAGGAGCTTTGTTCTGTTTGGCATATTAAGGTGGGGTATTTGTCCGTATATGGTAGGTCAGGGCAGGAGTGGGTTTCTGGTTGCTTGTGTTCAGTCTGGTGGGTGGGTGTAGGTTATGACCATATATGGATGAATGAGGTGGAGCTGCTCTATATATGGTGTGTTGGGGGAATGGCTTCAAAATATTGCACTTGAGTGTTTGGGCGTGGAAGGAAATGGGAACAAGTGCAGCAAATGATTTTAATTTGAATGTCGTTCTTAAGCATTTTCAGTTAGATCTGTTGAAAGAAAGATGAATTCTGGTTTTATTCCTTAATAAAAGTATTGGTGTGAAAGGGCTCTCTGGAATAACCCGTGAGGAAGCCATTGTACCAACAAAGATTTCTTTGTGCAAAAAGTAACTGGAAAAAAGTTCTTAGCAAAGAAACCGAAATAGTGGTAACCTTAAGTTAGCTGTCAGAACAGACCGCATCTCCATCCTGGGCACTGGATGTGTTGTTTTCAGTTTTTTCACTTGGTCGTCATCTTTGCTTTTTCTTGAAAATTGCGCTCACACAAACCAACCAACTTCCAGTATTAGTTGAATATATTGATTCTGAAACCCTGCTCATTTTAACATTTTCATGGTGACAGTACATGTCCTTACTAGTCTTAGCAAGAATCTTGTGAGACTGGATGTTTGATTTGAGCTTCATGTACCTTGTTTTCCTGTTTAAATGGAATCATGACCACTTCAAAGTCATGGTCTTTAATCCTTACAGCCGTTCTTCCAGGGTTTGTGCTCCATTCTACAGACAAAAAGACTGGGGAGATTAAGTAAGGCTTGCCTCCAAAGCTCAACCTCTTGATCATTGTTCTTCATAACCACAGAATGTGCTATAAAAGTATTCTAGGAATACACTGCGAGGTGTATTTTTTCTTTTTCTTTTTACTCACTACCTCCAGCAAACCAAGCTGGCATTTATAGAGAAATTGTAGTATGGCTCAAGGATGCCCAACTTCCCCCCCCCCCCCTTTGGGCTAATAGCCTTTGTACATAAAATAAGCTTTGTACTAGATTTCAATCATAGCTGTTGTGGTTTATTTCACCTGCCAAGTGAAATTTTGTCCAGTGTATTTGTTTTATCTGATTTGAATGGAAACAAGATTTACTTTTTAGTTCTAGTCTTTTGTTATTTGGCAAATAGTGACTAGGTGTTCTTGTCCCTGACAATGAGGACCTGTTGAGATAGGCAGGAAGTTCTTTACATGTATTTTTTTAACTGTCATATTATCTCCACTATCTGCCCTAAACCTTTAAGGCAGCAGTTCTCAACCTGTGGTTCGTGACCCCTTTGGGAGTCGAAGGACCCTTTGAAAAACACATTTCCCATGATCTTAGGAACCAAGACACTGTTTTTCTGTCCGTCTCCAGGCAGGTCTGCCCACATGCAGATAAGCCCACATATGAGTGCCCGGCATGAAGATTGTTACCCATGCTACACCATGCTTCAAGTCAAAAATTTCATTTGGTTGTCATTAGAAATAAATATTCCACAATATATAATTACATAATGTTTTTGTGATTAATACTATGCTTTAATTATGCTCAATTCATAACAATGAAAATACATCCTGCATATCAGATATTTACATTACTATTTATACAATAGCAAAATTACAGTTATGAAGTAGCAACAAAAATAATTTTATGGTTGGGGGTCACCACAGCATGAGGAACTGTATTAAAGGGTCGCAGCATTAGGAAGGTTGAGAACCACTGCTTTAAGGTGATATTTTTAGAAAGAGGAATTAAATTTAGAAAAAGTCTTGTTCAGAGTTGCATAGTTAAGTGATTGAAGTAGAATTTGAACCCAGGTTTGTCTGTGTTTTTGCTGCTGCATCTGGAGACAATGGGGATTTTGACTCAAAAGCAATTAGACTGTTGATTTTTGTCCTATTCCTATGTAAAGTATGTACATAATGATTTTTGTTTTTTAATCTAATCATGATTTATACATATTTCCTGAGTTGAATAACAGCAGAAATAATTGACTTAAGTTTAGGGCTCATGTATTAATGAGGAAATGGGATTTAAAACACTGGAATCTGATTGTGCTTGGTGAGATGCAGGCAAGAACTAAGTAAGTAAGACCAGGCTTTCACCTGGATTTTTTTGGGCGCTGTTTTTTATGTAGGTGAGACAGTTCCTGATCAAATATGACTACATAAAATTTGAGTAGTATTTATAATACTAGTTGCTGTTGCCTGTGATCATAATTGGCTTGTGATATATGGCAACCTCATGCACAATCCCCTGCACAATGATAATCAAATTGTTGTAATCCATAATTTTCATTAGCTGTTTTTTGGGAAGTAGATTCTTCTGATAGGCTGGAAGTGCCACTGAAACCTGTATAATATATCATAACAGCATGCATAACAGATGGGTGGTGGCTGTACATGGGTGCATGGGTCTTCCTCATGCAAGGGAAAAATTCTGCCACTGAACTGCCCCTGCCCTCTCTGCTTGCTTAGTTAGTTGAAGTTGATATCTAGGCTAAAGATAAATGCTTCTCCTAAAGAGAAACTTTGTAACAAAGTCACTTAGAAACTAAAAGGACAAGTGTGTTTAGTGATAGATTACAACGAAATTAAATTGATGGCACCATAACTGTAGGTAATAAGATTAAGTGTTTATTTGATAATGCTTAATCTTCACAAATATTTTAGGCAGTAGCCTACATTTTTTAGATCAAAAATTGAGATTTAAGTAAGTTAAATAGGTTAGAGTATGTCTCCAGACTTTCTTAAGCACCAAGCTTTAATTTCCAGGCGGAATGAGGTTGTTTTTGTTGTTACCTGCTGTCAAGGTGGCATCCCAACTCTTGGTGACCCATGTACAATGAAACATCATGCTGCCTGGTCCTGCATCATTGCCATGATTGATGGATTGGACAATTGGGATCCATAGAGTTTCACTGGCATATTTTTTTTTAATTAGATCACCAGACCTTTCTTTCTAGTCTCTCTTTAGTTTGGAACAGGAGTTCTCAACCTGTGGGTCGTGACCCCTCTGGGGGTCAAAAGACGCTTTTACAGAGGTCGCCCTATTCATAACAGTAGCAAAATGATAGTTCTAAATTATCAACGAAAATAATTTTATGGTTGGGGGCGTCACCACAACATAAGGAACCTGTATTAAAGGGTTGTGGCATTAGGAAGGTTGAGAACCACTGGTCTCTGGAAGTTCTGCTGAAACTAGTCCAGTTTCACAGCAGCAGGCAAAGCATTCACTGACTACTGCTTACATTGGCTGGAAATGAACCCTGTTTTCCTGTATGAAGAGTAAGACTTCTACCTTTGTACTATCACTAAAGTTCAGGACTTTTGTTTCTTGGCCAGGATATTCTCAGCTTCTGGAACAGTGTTTGGCCTACAAAGGGTGATCTAATACTTGAGTGAATCAAGGATGGAATCATAAAGTCAATGGGAAAGTATACCAAGGGCTCAATAGAAAGTAAATGTCTAGAAGAGAATGAGGGCAACATATGTACAAACAGCCTGATTCAATTGATGTATGAGTTATATGAGCCCCTAATAAAAGATTTTAAAAAGTTAATAGGAAAGCAGCTTAGAAATCATCTGATTGGATGTTGGCATTCTATTCATTTGGAAAGACTACAGCTCTTAAATGGGTGTGCTTGTAGGGGGACCTCTCCCAACCTTTTATCTGTCCTACTCTTCCTGTTGTTTCTTAACTGACTTGGTTCACATAATTATGCATACTTCATTCCCACATGTCTGAAACCCACTTCCATACTTGTATCTTCGTCCCATCTTAGTCCTCAACGGGGTCTTTAATAAATAGAGTGTCACCACTTTTTTTTCTTTATAATTAGGTGCTTTGACTTGTGCCAAGTCTTTTTTATCTTTGCATACAATTGGAACTTGATTGGTGGAGTCTGCTGCTAGACAGATGAGAAACTCATGGCACAGTGCAATAAAAACTGCTTATTATTAATAATCAAAAGTTATATCTGGAGTTTTATATAAGCATTTTATTGAAGACATAAATAGATGGAAAGGAATGGATTTATTTATGAAATATTGAAGTAAGTGGTACTCTGCATCTAGTCCAGAGTATAAAGTAAATAATGTATTTGAAAACTTGTTGACCAAAATTCATGCCAGTCTGTATGTGCCTACTTTTAAACTTGGACATTATTTGTTTCTTCCTGATGGCCTTCATATCATATACTCAAGTGAGATGAGTGTATGTCAAGTGGAAGGTTTTGAAGTTAGATATAATATTAACTCTTGTATATCAAATAGATTTTCTGTTGGGGAAAAAATAGCCTGGAATAATTTGATTTATCCAACATCTGCTCAAGATATTTGCTAGACTAATGAAGCACACGTTTATAAAATATCTTATTAAAATAATGGCAAATTCAGAAACACGGTAATAGGCTGTGAATTATAGTTAATTGACCTCTTTCTGACCTTTGGAGGCAAAGCATAAATAGCATCATCTCAGTGGGCTGAGGGAGCATAGTGGAAAGAACACAATCTGAATTTGTATATCAG